ACACACACACTGCATGGGCCACGCACACGCACAGACATACAGACACACACACAGACATACAGACACACACAGGGACATACAGACACACACTGCATGGGCCACGCACACGCACACGCACAGACATACAGACACACACACAGACATACAGACACACACAGGGACATACACACACACACTGCATGGGCCACGCACACGCACAGACATACAGACACACACACAGACATACGGACACACACAGGGACATACACACACACACTGCATGGGCCGTGAACACACACAGACATACAGACACACACAGAGACATACACACACACACTGCATGGGCCACGCACACGCCCAGACATTCAGACACACACACACAGGGACACCCTGCATAGGCCCTACGCACACGCACACTGGATGGACCATGGACATGGACATACAGACACACACACGGACACACTGCATGGGCCATGCACACACCCAGAGACATACAGACACACACATGCACACACTGTATGGGACATACACACACACTCTGCATGAGCCACGCACACACACGGGCCCAGAGCCCTTCCCCCACAGACCACCAGGCTGGGTGGTGGTTGTGCGCACACACACACACACGCAGAGTGTTTCCCCTGCGGGTTGTCTAGACACACCCACAGACACCCACAGTCAGGCAGAGAGAGAGAGGCACACAGGGGAGCCAGCAGTCAGACAGACTCACAAGCCAGGAGAGACATGAGTTCACCCTCAACACCCACCCCCTCTCCCACCCACTGATACGCTCGTTTCAACACCTCCCTTCACACCCTTGCTCGCAGGCTCCCTGCCCTGTTCACACCCACACGGGCTGAGGATTCAGCACACAGCCAGGGCCGGCCCCTGGCGGGGGAGCAGGAAAGGTGTGGAGGAAGGTTGGCCCAGTTCTCAGGAGACCCTGGTTCAATTCTCTCCTCTGCCACAGGCTCCCTGTGTGACCCTGGGCAAGTGACTTAGCTGCTCTGTGCCTCAGTTTCCCCCATCTGCCCTATGGGGATAACAGCCCTGCCTCATGGGGGCTCGTGAGGATCAGCGCTCAGGCATGGCTGTTCTGGGGGGCTGTAGAAGGACCATGGCTAGATGGACGTTGGACGAGCGCACGCCCAGAACACACCCGCTCGCTGCAAGCGGGCACATGCCAACTGAGGCCCAGCTCCCTCTGCCTCCCTGGCTGCTGCATCCGCCTGGCATCCCTAGGCCTGGCCAGGTTGGGGTGGGGTGGGGAGAGCTCTCCCAGCCCGAGCCGGAGCGGGGCTGCGGTTAGACTGGGGCTGCACTGCTCACTTCGGCAGGCCCAGCTCTACCCCTCACGGGTGGGAGAGGTGTGCTGGCAAAAGCCCCAAGCAGTTACTCTATTAATAATATGATTTATTAGGTGTGTTACCGTCGTGTCTAGGCACCCCAGGCCACCCTTGTGCCGGGCGCTGTGCAAACACAGAACAAAAATCTAAGACGAGAGACCCCAGGTGGAGAGAGACAGACGGGGGCCCAAGGGAACAGAGAACAGCTGATTTCGCTTGGGGCGGGGGGTGGAATGAGGTCTGCCCGCACAAAGCCCAGTTTTGTTGGTATGTGCTGGGTCTGGGCACCGGGCTCTGAGGGTGGAGGTGGCCTTGGCTCTGTTTATAGCCTGTTCCCCTACAGGAGTCGCTGTGGTGGGGTGAGGGAGAGCTGTGTCCACACTGGGAGCGCTGGGCCAGGCCGGGGTACAGCCTTGTCCCAGCCTGGCGAGGGTTGTGTAGTGCCGGACGGGAATAGGTACCCTGGTCTAAGCCCCGTTATGCCAGGAGAGCTGTGTCCGCACTGGGAGCGCTGGGCCAGGCCGGGGTACAGCCTTGTCCCAGCCTGGCGAGGGTTGTGTAGTGCCGGACGGGAATAGGTACCCTGGTCTAAGCCCCGTTATGCCAGGAGAGCTGTGTCCGCACTGGGAGCGCTGGGCCAGGCCGGGGTACGGCTTTGTCCTGACCTGGCGAGGGTTGTGTAGTGCCAGACGGGGACAGATACCCTGGTCTAAGCCCCATTACGCTGGGAGAGCTGTGTCCGCATTGGGAGCGCTGGGCCAGGCCGGGGTACGGCCTTGTCCCAGCCTGGCGAGGGTTGTGTAGTGCCGGACGGGAATAGGTACCCTGGTCTAAGCCCCGTTATGCCGGGAGAGCTGTGTCCGCACTCGGAGCGCTGGGCTAGGCTGGGGGACGGCTTTGTCCCGACCTGGCGAGGGTTGTGTAGTGCCGACGGGAATAGGTACCCTGGTGTAAGCCCCGTTACGCTGGGAGAGCTGTGTCCACACTGGGAGTGCTTTTCTGGTGGAGTGCGTATGCCAGGGTGGATACTGCACTCCTAGGGTAGCCCCGGCCCCTTTATGTCGGCCACGCAGGTGGGCAGGGGGGTTAATGCCATGCGGCTTTCTAGTGTAGACGGGCCCTAGGTCCTGCAAGGCTGGGGTCGTGCAGTGCCTGGCACAACGGGGCCCAGCCCCTGCTCCAAGGAGCTCCCCACCCAGGCCCCAGCCGGCTGGGCAACTGCTGGTCCCAGGCTAGGCACATCTGTGTTGGTCAGGTGAGGAGCAGGGCGCTGGCGTGTGGGCGTCCCACGGAAGGAAGGGTGGCTCGTTACCCAGGGGACTCTCCCTCTGACGCACACCCTGGCCGAGGGGGATGCCCTGTAGGAGCGGCCAAGAGGAGACGAGACCCACCAGCCTCGTTCTACCCGTGGGCCTTAGGCTGGGCTGGCTGCCGAGCCGCACTGGCTTTGAACCGCTGCCCTGCGGTGATGGGCTCCATGGCTGATCCCCCAGTAGACCCCCCGGGCCCTCGTCCTCCTCCCTACCTCGTCCACGGCTCAGTAAAAATAAAAAGCAGAAGTGGCAAGTTGTTTGCTCTGAGCGAGGAGAGGTGGCAGCCCCCACCCCCCGGTGGGGGGAATAGCCAGGGCCCTGCGGTGAAGGGGGGAGGGGTAGTACGGTCAGGATTGGGCCCAGCTACGAGATTGCTTCTGGTGAGCTCAGCTGGCTGGCGTGGGACTGACAGTGTCCCCAGAAATACCCCTGCCTCCGTGTGACGGCAGAATTGGGGGGGCTCACACCCAGCCCCATGGATGGGGGGCTGTGTGTGCATGGGGGCTCCCACTGCTGTGCCCTGAGAGGACCCTGCCCCCAGCTGAGAGCCGAAGGCCTCGTTCGCTGCGCTCTAAGGAGCTCAGTTTCGGATCCCGGCTGTAGTTCAAATCAGAGACACTGTGAGGTGGTTCCCACCAGAGCAGGTGGGGGGGGCGGGGGGGGGGGGTCTGTGAGCTGCTGCCTGGCCTGCTAGGGGCTCAGCCCAGGGTGCCCCCCCACGGGCACCGGAAACAAGGCAGGGGCATCACGTCAGACCCTCCCAGGCTGGCGTGACACCGGGCAGAATTTGAGCGAGTGGTCTTGGGACCGAGCGGGGTCTCCCCGCCACTCAGATATGGCTCCCTCCCTGCTCAGGACGCCCACTTGTGCTGGTAGCCACAGGCACAGGTGGGGCAGGGCAGGCGTGACTGGAGGAGGGGCATTGGGCAACCCCCCACCAGGGCAGGATCCGGCCCGGTGCTTGGCAGCCTCCTGGGGGCTCAGCGGCACGGCACCCCGGGCTGCCCCGCGCGACAGGTCCGAGGCCGCAGCTGGGTCTTGGGTTTGCTTTGGCCACTCGGTCCCGTCTCCTAAGGGAGGCGAAGGGTTCCCTCCTTCTGCGGCCGCTCTCCATCCCTGTTGTACTGCTGGGGAAACTGAGGCACGGAGCAGGGAAGGGACTCGCACCAGGCAGCACAGCATTTCAGTGGCAGAGCTGGGAGTGGAACCCAGGAGTCCTGACCCTCCCCTCCGCCCCCCCCCCAACCACTAGACTCTGCTCCCCTCCTAGAGCCAGGATAGAACCCAGGAGTCCTGGCTCTCGGCCTTCTTCGCTAATCATAAGACTATATTCCTTCCCCCAAATCAGGAGGCGAACCCAGGCACCCCGACTCCCCGATCTCACCGCTAGACCCCGCTCCTTCCTGGGAACCCAGGAGTCCTGTCTGTAGTTCCCTCCTAGGTTAAAGTAGATGCATCTGTGTGTCTGTGGCTGTCGGGGAGAACATAGGGTGGTTGTTGTCGAGAAATAGCTTGTGATTTTCTTACTGGTGGGGCGGAACCCCCGGACCATAACTACAACCCATCCTGCACGGGCTAGGGGAGGGCATCAGTGTAGGCTGCCATAGTCCCTGGTACCAGCCACTATGGGGTGGATTTATGGGTAGGAGCGTCCTATGGTCCCCATCCCCATGGTGTCATGGTGCTGCGCAAACACCTCCCCCCACCCCCGGGAGCCAGGGGAAGATGATCATCCCCATGTCACAGATGGGGGAAACTGAGGCACACCACAATGACGTGACCTGCCCCAGCATCTGCGGGGAGTCCGTGGCAGAGCCAGTAACAGAACCTAGATCTCCTGGGTTCCAGCTCAGGGCTTCAGCCACAGAGCCTGTGTTGTGCAGCAACTCCACAATGGGCAGAGTTAAGGCTGTACATTATTGTATATGTTTTGTATGACGGTAGCACCTAGGAGCCCCAGCCATGGACAAGGACTGCATAGCGCTAGGCGCTGTACGTTTTTATTGCCATTAGGTGTATTACTGTAGGGTTATGCGGTAGGGTTATTCTGAGGCATGTGCTGGTATCTGTTATCTCCATAGTGCCGCTCCTCCAAAAGGATCCCAAAGCACCTTACAGGTACATACCTTACATACAGTGAGCAGTTCACCCGGTGCTGAGATGCAGCCACCTCTGGGATGGAACACAGGGGCTGGTTATACAGGGATCCCTTGCCCAATGCTGAGATGCAGCCACCTCTGGGGTGGGGCACAGGGGCTGGTTAATGGCCACACAGCACTACAGTTCAGGACCCTCTGCCGGCCAGGCAGATCCCCGTTGCGACGGGCGTTTCCCCCCTGACCGTCCCTTTATGTTGCTGCAGGCGAAGAACAAAGGCACTGGCGACCTGGCTGCCATAAAGATTGTGAAGATGGAGTCAGGTGAGGGAAGGCGGGCTCCACTGCGGGAGAGGGTCCCCAGCCGACCGCTGCTAGGGCTGGGTGTAACCAGAGATCTGTCTGACCCTCTGGAGCCTCTTCTGTCTGACCCCCTGGAGTCCTGTCATCTGTCTGACCCCCGACCCCCTGGAGCCTCATCTGTCTGCCTGACCCTCTGGAGCCTCGTCTGACCCCCCTGGAGCCTCGTCTGTCTGTCTATCTGCCTGTCTGACCCCCCTGGAGCCTCGTCTATCTGACCCCCATGGAGCCTCGTCTGTCTGTCTGACCCCCATGGAGCCTCGTCTGTCTGTCCCCTAGATCCCAGCCTGTCTGTGTCTCTCTGTGGTCTCCAGCCCTGCAGTAGCTGAGCGCGACACCCTTTCAGATCCGTTCTCCGGCCCTGAGAGTTCAGTAGAATCTGAGCTGGCCCCAGGCTGCTCCTGGCGGCGTGGGGCAGATGTTCTGCCCCCTGTGGGGCTCGCACAGGGCGGACTGGCAGGCCTGTGGCCCTGCACCCCCCCCATGGCAGGGAGGGGGGCGAACACCCCCTTGGCAAGGCCGGGACCTGTTGGGGCCACCGCTCACAGATGCCCCCCACTGAGCCCTGCCCCCCTGGGTACTGCCCGATGGGGAGCTCCTGGCAAGCAGCAGCTGCAGCTGGCGGGAAGGGGGCTGCCAGCAAGCGAGTTACTGTAACAGCAGCCAGCAACATCCTTCCCTGCTTCCTCCTCCCGCCCCCCACCGCCGCGGTCACACTTGGCTCCCCAGCGCGGGGCACGGGGGGGGACGGCCCAGTCCCCAGCCGGGCTGGCGAGCCCCGAGGCCTGGGCTGGATCCCGTGCTCCCCCTTGCCCACTGGCGGGGCAGTCTGCATCTGGGGCGAGCGCCCCCTTCCGCAGTACGTTGGGGGGCCCGGGAGCTTTAACGCCCCCTCAGGCTGCGGGGGAGGGTGTTTGCTGGGGATCATGGCGGGGGTGGCGGGAAATCAGGGCATCTCCATCAGCCCAGGCCTGCTAGGCATCGGGGTCAGCACTGACTACAAGGGAAGACTGCCCCCCGCCGAGCTCCCGCCCCACAGCCCAGCGCCCCCTACCGAGCCCCCACCCCGCTCCCCGCAGCCCAGCGCCCCCCGCCCCGCTCCCCGCAGCCCAGCGCCCCCTGCCGAGCCCCCCGCCCCGCTCCCCGCAGCCCAGCGCCCCCCGCCGAGCCCCCCGCCCCGCTCCCCGCAGCCCAGCGCCCCCCTGCCGAGCCCCCCGCCCCGCTCCCCGCAGCCCAGCGCCCCCCGCCGAGCCCCCCGCCCCGCTCCCCGCCGAGCCCCCCGCCCCGCTCCCCGCAGCCCAGCGCCCCCCCTGCCGAGCCCCCCCGCCCCGCTCCCCGCAGCCCAGCGCCCCCGCCGAGCCCCCGCCCCGCTCCCCACAGCCCAGCGCCCCCCGCCGAGCCCCCCCCCGCTCCCCGCAGCCCAGCGCCCCCGCCAGCCCCCCCCCCCCGCCCAGCACCCCCCCGAGCCCCCCGCCCCGCTCCCCGCAGCCCAGCGCCCCCCGCCGAGCCCCCCGCCCCGCTCCCCGCAGCCCAGCGCCCCCCTGCCGAGCCCCCCGCCCCGCTCCCCGCAGCCCAGCGCCCCCTAGTGCCGCACTACAGGTACTAACAGCTGCTGTTGCTCCCCAGATGACGACTGCACTGCGATCCAGCAGGAGATCCTCATCGTGAAGACCTGCCAGCACCATAATATCGTGGCCTATTATGGGAGCTACATGCGGTGAGAGATCCTGCCCCATCTCTCCCCACTGCCCCCCAGCTGCCCCATTTCTCCCCACTGCCCTCCAGCTGCCCCATTTCTCCCCACTGCCCTCCAGCTGCCCCATTTCTCCCCACTGCCCTCCAGCTGCCCCATTTCTCCCCGGCTTCCCCTCCCCCATCTCTCCCCACTGCCCCCCACAGCTTCCTGTCCCCCATCTCTCCCTGGCGCCCTCCCCCAGCCCTCACTCCCTCTCCCCATCTGGAGCCCCTCCCCCCACACTGCTTCCCCTCCTTTTCAGCCCTTCCTGCCTCTGGAGTCACCAGGAGGGTCCTGGGGCAGGTGCATCGTCCCCGTCCCCACCCCCAGGTCCTTGTGGTGGGTTGCGGGAGCCCCTTGGCCCAGGACATGAAGGCCCTGCCCCCACTGCCCCCCCACCCCTCCTCCATTAACCCCCCCGCTCTGTGGCCCGGTAGGTTGAACAAGCTGTGGATCTGCATGGAGTTCTGCGGGGCCGGATCTCTGCAGGACATTTACCACGGTAAGGTGGCACCGGGCGGGCACTGCACCACACCCTCATGGGACCAGCAAACTGCTCCCAGCAGTGCCCCCAGCACAGCGCTGGTGGGAGAACTGGGCACCGAAGCCTCATCCCCTGTCCAGCCAGGTCCTGCCAGCCAGGCCGCAGGAAGCCCCGTGCCCGTCGATAGCCCTGTCTGCGCCCGGGCCCTGCAGAACCAGCCCTGCCAGCTAGAACAGTACAATTATTCCTGTTGCACAGAAGGAAACTGAGGCACAGAAATGGGACAGGTCTTACCCAGCTCCCACAGTGAGTCATGGCAGACTTAGGAATAGAACCCAGGAGCCCTGGCTCCCAGCCCCCCCCTCTAACCACTAGACCCCACTGCCCTCCTAAAGCCAGGAGAGAACCCAGGAGCCCTGGCTCCCAGCCCCCCCCGCTCTAACCACTAGACCCCACTTCCCTCCCAGAGCCAGTGACAGGCCATCAGTCCTGCCTCCCTAACGCCCAGCCCTGTGCTCTAACCACCGAACCCTGCCTGTGCTCTCAGGTGAACGGCTGCTCTCAAAGTCTGTAGCTTGTGCTCTGGGCTGCGTGGAAAAGGAAGTGAGTCCCGCGCTGCCGGCTCAGACAGGGGCAGCCTCCTGTGCAGGGGACACCAGCAGCTCCAAAATGCAGAAGCAAAAGCAGCTGAGATTGCTGCTGTGTGTGGTGGGAGGGGCAACGCCATGGTCTGGGCAGGGCCCGGCGCGACGGGGCCCTGATCTCGGTCGGGGTCCGGGCAGGGCCCGGCGCGACGGGGCCCTGATCTCGGTCGGGGTCCGGGCAGGGCCCGGCACGACGGGGCCCTGATCTCGGTCGGGGTCCGGGCAGGGCCCGGCACGACGGGGCCCTGATCTCGGTCGGGGTCCGGGCTCTCTCATAATACAGCTAATAAAAAAAACACATCCATTTTCCATTGCAGTCACTGGCCCCCTGTCTGAGCAGCAAATTGCCTACGTCTGTAGAGAAACGTTGCAGGTGAGTTTGGGAAGCCCTTTCACGCTGGCCTCAAACCTGGGCAGCTCAGCTCTCTGGAGGGCATCTCAGAGGCCTTCCCACAGGTAGCCCCCTCTGGGATTGGACCATTAACCCTATCTTTAATCATCTAACAACGGTGACTCAGTGGAGGCCAGGCCAGGGCCACTCAGGCTGGACTAAACACCCCATTGTCGTTTGTGCTTTTAGGGTCTGTCTTATCTTCACACCCAAGGCAAGATCCACAGAGACATCAAGGTAAGGAGGTCAGGCCACGGGGCAGAGGGGGCTGGGACTGGCTCACTGTCTCTGGGATGGAGAGCTGTAGAGAAAGCAGGGGCCAGAGGAGGACTGGCTGGGTCCACTGGCCGGATGGATGGATTGCGGGGCAGGTCGATAGACAACGCAGTGCTGGTGTACCCGTCTCGGTCCCAGGATACGAGAGAGGCCAGGCTGGGCAGTCAGTGCCTTGTATTGGACCAGCGGCTGTTGGCGAGAGAGATGAGCTTTCGAGCGCTGTGGTGGAGAGGACAGGCAGGTGGTGAGCGGGTTGGTAGACTGTGGCTGGAAGGAGGCTGGCTGGCTGGCGAGGGAGGTAGATGCCGAGGCTGCTGTGGTTCGGTGGCAGAGATGCAGGGGCCCGCTGGGCCAGACCAAGAGATGGGCTTCAACAGGTAGCAACCGAAGGAACCGAGCGTGGGCAAGGGGCGGCTCCGGGCAGCCCTTTCCTTAGGGATCTAGAGCGTGGCTCGTCAGGCCGTCCGGCCGGGGGATTCCAGACCTCCCGCAGGTGAAAAATCCACCGGGGGAAGCCAGGCTCCAGGGATGTGCTCGGCTTAGCCCAGACCCAGTGTTTCAAATAGGAAACTGAAGCCCCCCCTGGGTTGTTCAAGGCCCCCCCCACACACACACAGCAGGGAGGGCTGAGAGCTGGGAGTGAAACTGACTATAAACAGAAAATGAAATTGACCAGGCAAGGGGCAGACTCCCAGGCTGGAGAGACGCCCACAAAACAAAGCATCAGCTAGAGACAGGACCTGGGATTGCTCAAATTCTCTCCCTTCGGTGCCCCTGGGAGCTCGGCCTGGGCCCTTGGATCAAAACCAATATACCGATAATGTAGGTCGTAGCATGTTATCGTCTGTCACCGGGGCTGGGGCATGCAGTAGTTCATACAATATCAGGTTGGAAGGGACCTCAGGAGGTATCTAGTCCAACCTCCTGGACCAGTCCCCAATTTTTGCCCAAAATCCCTAAATGGCCCCCTCAAGGATTGAACTCACAACCCTGGGTTTAGCAGGCCGGTGCTCAAACCACTGAGCTCTCCCTCCCCCCATTAGGCCATAGTGTGTTGATGCATGTCATCGGGGCTGGGGCATGCGGGAGTTAGGCTGTAGCGTGTTACCGTAGCGTGTTACCATACCAGGACGGTGCAGAGTGTTGCAGTTGTGCAGTAGCGTGTTACAGCATGTCACTGGGGCGTGTTGCAGTAGCGTGTTACGGCATGTCACCGGGGCTGCGGCCTGTTGCTGTAGCATGTTACGGCATGTCCCTGGGGCTGGGGCGTGTGGCCGTAGCCTGTTAGCATGTCAGCAGGGCTGAAGCGTGTGACAATAGTGTGTTCCCGGCCCTGTGTCATGGCCATCATTGAGCGGGGTCAGGCTGGGATTTGCCCTGTGGGGGGGATTCAGCAACCTGGGGGTGGCCGGCCCCCCCTGGAAATCGCAGCCTGGCCGAGTCAGTGCCAAATCTGCCTCCTCCAAGGGGTTAAACTATTTCTGCAGCCCCTGGGGACCTGCCCCATGCACGGCCCCTGCCCCACGGCCACAGCCCCGGCCCCAGCCCCCTTCAGCCTCCTCTGTTCCTTCCCCCCACAGGGAGCCAACATCCTCATCAACGACAATGGGGAAGTGAAACTTGGTGAGTCACATCCCAGCTTGGCCCCTATAGGCTCTTCCCCAGGGCGGGAGGCATGGCTGGGGCATGGCTATGGGACAGCTGGGAGATCTATGGGGCATGGTTAAGGGCAGTTGGGGGGATGCACTGGGGTAGGGGGCTGAGGGTCCCGGGGGTGTCGGGCGGGGGTGCCAGGATAGGCTGATGGGCGTGGGGGGCACAGGCTGGGTTTGGGGGGTGCAGTGTCTGATACCCACCCAAGGCCAATTGAAGCCTTTCCTCTCCTCCCCACAGCGGATTTTGGGATCTCAGCCCAGATCAGCGCTACCTTCGCCCGCAGGATGTCCTTCATCGGCACCCCCTACTGGTACTGGTGGGGCAGGCGTCCAACTTGGCTCAGCCCCAGCCAACTTGCATTGTCGGGGGTGGGGGGGCTCACAGTGCCACTGAGGGGCCGATCTCCGGGCTGCATGTGGCTGCCACGCGGGAGCAACGGGCATGGATTATGTGTGTGTGGGGGGCACAGTGTGTGTGTAGGGGGGCGTGTAGCGCATCACCGGTGCAGCACCTCCTGCTGGTTGTCTTGGGGATTAGCTCGATTCCGGCCCGGAGCACCCTCTCCTGGCCAATGTCTCACCTGCCTCAGGCCTCCCCCCCCCGTGTCCCTCCCGGACTCCGGTGCCCTTTTACCTTGGCTTGCTGCCCCAGCAGCACCCCCCCACGCTCTCTAGGTCTCCCCTCCCAGAGGGGCCCCCGACACTCTAAACCCACCTTGCCTCAGTGGCTACTGCCAGTCGTCATCCAGCCCTCCCGCTCAGTGGGGCGGACTGCAGTCTCATGGCCACTCACCATTGGCAAGGAGGTTGGACCGGCTGCCTCTGGCTAGCCCCGGGCTGCACCTCCCAGCCCCGGTACCTGCATAGGCTGTTGCCAGGCTGGAGCTCCCCAGCCCTGCTCCACTCCAGGGACCCTTTTCTCCCCGGCCGCCAGGACCCTCACTCTCCACCGCTAGAGAGAGACTGACTCAGCTCCTGGCTCACAGCCCTTCTATAGGGCCAGCTGTGGCCGGATTGGGGCGTGGCCCCAGCTGTGGCTGCTTCCCCAATCAGCCTTTCACAGGAGGGGGGGAACTGCCCCGCTACAGAGGGGCACAGTCTGTCTGTCTGTCTGTGTGGGGCGGGGAAGCACGGTGCGTGTCCCCCAGGTGTGAGTGTGTGTGTGTGTGTGTCCCCCAGGTGCACGCTCTGTGTGCGTGCGAGCCGGGCAGGCGTGAGGTCATCCGGTGGGGCTGGTTTAGGGGGCGGCTCCGGGCTAAGCAAGGGGGGAACACAATAGAAATGTCCCCCCGGGCCCCAGTGCCTCCATCAGGCCTGCCCCATCCCCAGACACCCACCCCGGCCTCACCTGGGGCCATCCCCCTGCCCCCAGCCAGCCTGCCCACCTGCGTCCCTTCCCCGCGCTCTCTTCCCGTGCCAGGATGGCCCCCGAGGTGGCAGCGGTGGAGCTGAAAGGCGGCTACAACGAGCTGTGCGACATCTGGTCCGTGGGCGTCACGGCGGTGGAGCTGGCCGAGTTGCAGCCCCCCATGTTCGACGTCCACCCCCTGCGGTGAGTGCCGGGTGCGGGGCCTGCCATGGGGGAGCCCCGCCCCTTCCCGGGTCCGAACCCGCCACCCGGGGGTCACACCGGGCCTGCGATGGCTGCAGGGCGCAGGGAGGGACTGGCGGGGGCAGAGCGGGGTGGCTGGCACCGGGGAGGATCAAGGCCCCGGCTGGGCAGAGCTGAGGGACCCAGGAGTCCGGGCGGCCGGGCCCCGGTTCTCGCCGGGAGTTGGCCTTGCAGGGGGTGAAGGCAGGAGGCTGCCGGAGGGAGCGAGCCGGCCCCCACCCTGCAGAGCCAGGCGGCCGCGCGGTTCCCCCCTTGCTCTGCACACAGGCTTGGGGTGGGGGCAGGGGCGGGGGTTGTCTAGGAAGCCCAGGTAAGATCAGAGCGCGCCCCTCACTCGGTACCCCCACATGGCGTGGCGCCCACAGGCCGCCCTTTCATGCTGCATCTGGAGCCTACCCGCACCCAGGCCCCTTCCCACCCCACCCCACGGGGCCCCTGGCTGGGGGGCACGGAAGCCGAATCCGAGCCAGAAACCAGCCTGGGGTGGAGCTTCTGGGGCATGGGGGGGAGGGGGAAGGGCGCACCGCATCCAATCTGTCTGTCCCTGATCCACCTCCCGTTCCTGATCTGCCCAGGGCCTCAGCGCATTGGAACGGGCCCATCTACCCGGCCTCCCGGCTCCAACGCTGGCTGTGTCTCCTACCCCTAGCAGCCTGCAGCACCCCCCCCACCTGTCTCCTTCCTGACCCTGCCAGGAGCTGGGGCTCTGGAGCCTGCGAATGGCTGGCCCCCGCCCTGCAGCAGGGAGTCCTGCCAGTTAATGAACTCCCCACGCCCCCCTGCACCTGGGTCTGATGCCCCCTTGTGTCCCTGCAGGGTGCTGTTCCTGATGTCCAAGAGCGGCTACCAGTCGCCGAAGCTAAAAGACAAGGCAAAGTGGTGAGTGGCCCTGGCCGCAGGACTGACCTGAGCCCCATTGCCTGCTGCCCTTTGTGACTCCCAGGGGCCAGATGTGGCCGAGGCCTGGCCCGCGTGGGGGGACCCCCTGGGGAGGGGCGGGAGCTGGTTAAAGTCAGGGAGGGGCGGCCCCCTGCCACGGGTGGGAGCTGCCGGGCTGGTCCCGGTTCCGGGGTCCTGGGATCAGATTCTGCTGGGGCTTGGTGGGTTGCGGGGGAGGCTGGGAGCCAGGACTCCTGGGTTCTATCCTAGCTCTGGGAAGGGAGTGCGGTCTACGGGTTAGAGTGGGGGTCGTGTGGGAGCCAGGACTCCTGGGTTCTCTCCCTGGCTCTGCCACGGCTTTGCTGTGTGACTTGAGTCAGGTTGGGTCCCCTCGCTGGGCCTCAGTTTCCCCTCTGTAAAGGCGGGGGCTGGCCCCATCCCTGGGCCTGGCCCCATCCCTGGGCCTGGCCTCCCTGCCCAAGGCCTTCAGCTTCCCAGTTGTGTCCCCCCCCAGGACTCCGGCCTTTCACAACTTCGTGAAGGTGACGCTGACCAAGAACCCCAAGAAGCGGCCGGGTGCCACCAAGATGCTGAGCGTGAGTAGGGAGTGGGCGGGGGCAGGCCGTGCCCAGGGGGGCTGCCCGTCTCGGCGTGCGCTGGCAGCCGGCCCAGCCAGTCCCCCGGGCAGGCGGCTTGCCCGGCCCATGGCCGGCTGCCCCCCAACCTCACCCCCGCCCCCGTCCCTCCCTCCCCAGCACCAGTTTGTGGCCCAGCCTGGCCTGAGCCGGAGCCTGACGCTGGAGCTGCTGGAGAAGCTGCGTAACCCGGACAAGCTGCCCCGCTGCTGTGAGCCGGAGGAGGAAGAGGCCGAGGTGAGATTCCCGGGGGCTGCGGGGGGGGGCTGTGCGGGGGGGGCACACAGCTCCCAGCTGGCCCTGCCCCCCGGCCTGCCCCCGCCATGCTCAGAGACCGAGAGGGGGTGTGGGACCGTGGGGCCGTGCTGGCGGGACCCCTCCCGACTTAACCCCCCCCTGTCTTCCCAGCGGCCACCCCCGGTGCCCCAGCGGATCCACTCCACACACCGGCACACCCGCGCCGAGCGCAGTAACTCCGACATCAACCGTACGTCCCCCCGCCCCCCGCTGGGACCCCCGCCCTGCCCCTCCCCGCAGAACCCTTTCCTTGGTGGGACCCCCCCCCCGCTGGGACCCCCACCCTGCTCCTCCCCCTGCTGTACCCTTTCCCCTGCCATGCCCCTCCCCGCAGAACCCTTACCTTGGTGGGACCCCCCCGCTGGGACCCCCGCAGAACCCTTTCCTTGGTGGGACCCCCCCACTGGGACCCCCACCCTGCCCCTCCCCCGCAGTACCCTTTCCTTGGTGGGACCCCCCCCGCTGGGACCCCCACCTTGCCCCTCCCCCGCAGTACCCTTTCCTTGGTGGGACCCCCACCCTGCCCCTCCCCCTGCTGTACCCTTTCCCCTGCCGGGACCCCCCCCCCCCGCCATGCCCCTTCCCCAGCTGTACCCTTTCCCCTGCTGGGACCACCCCCACCCCCCGCTGGGACCCCTGCTGTGCCCCTTCCCCTGCTGTTCCCTTTCCCCTGCCAGGACCCCCTGCTGGGACCCCTGCCCTTCCCCCTGCCATGCACCCCCCAGCCCAGAGCCCACTGTGCCCCCTGCCTGTTCCCCTCGCTGCCGGGACCCCACCATGCCCTTCCCAGTGTTGCGGGGTGCTCTGGGCTGCCAGGTGGGGTGGCCAGGCAGGGTCCCGCTGGCAGGCGCATGGGGGTGGGGGGTGGGGGAGCTGGATGCCGGGAGCCACCCCCGCTCACCCGTGGTTCCGTGTCACGAGCCGGCGCCACGCGTCCGGTCTCAGCGGCCTCTCGTTCCAGTGCATCCCATCAAGATCCGGACCCGCTGGAAGGAGCCGACGCCTCCGTGCCACGTGGTAGGTGCTGCCCGTGTTCCCCGCCCCCTGGCCTGCGGCTCCCCCCCGCACCAGCCCCTCCAGCGGGCACTCCGGGGGAAGCTCCGCTAGCTGGCACCGGCAGTGTGGCTGTTATCCTCCGCCAGGCCATCCGTCGCGGCTCCTCCCACCCACCAGGGCCCCCCCGCCAGCCGCCCTTCCGCCCCACGCCCTGACTCGGCAGCCCCCGGGGCTGGGCATGGCTGGGAACACGGCGCCGGGGGCGGGGTGCCCGGGGTCTGAGCTGAATGGCCCGGCGTGGGCAGAGGGATACACCTGCTGGGGGGCCGGGCTGATGTGAATCCCGGCCCTCACCCTGCTTCTCCCGTCTCCCCACGGCCAGGAGATCTGCCTAGACCTCAGCTACGCCAGCAGCGGCAGCACCCCTGGCTCCATGGGCAGTGCCAGGTAACGGCCCCGGGCCCCATGGGGGGGGGTGGACCAGCCCTGGGGCCTTGCTGGGGGGGGGGGTTGGACCAAGGGAACTTTGCTGCGGGGCAGGGGGTAAGAAGAGACAGCTCAGGGGTGCCCGTAGAGGGGAGCAGGGGGACAGGCTGGGCCAGGAGCCCTGCTGGGGTGTGTGGGTCAGATGGGCCGGCCCAGGGGCCCCGCTGGGGGAGGGGGAGAGAGGGGCCGGCCCAGGGGCCCCACTGGAGGGAATGGGGAAGACGGGCTGCTCCAGAGGTCCCGCTGGGGGTGGGCGGAGAGGGGCCGGCCCAGGGGCCCCGCTGGGGGAGGGGGCAGGGAAGAGACGGGCCGGCCCAGCCCAGGGGCCCGTTCCAGGCTGCTGCTCCAGCTGGCCCTGGGGCCTGTCCCGGCGCCAGCCGTTGGCCACACTCTGACTCAGGCTCCGGCTCCTTCACAGGGTCAATGTGTCGGACTCAGACAACGACTACGACGATGTGGACATGTAGGTGCCTCCCCCACCCCTGGGGCTCGTCCAGCTGCAGGGACCCCTCCCCCCCAAGGGGGCTCAGCTTGGCTTTTGGGAGTGCAGAACAGTGATGGGTTCGGTCACAGAGACCCCCTTGGGACTGTCACCTGACGTGCTGGAGTTACCTCTGAGTCCGTTTTCCCTGCCAGCTTGGGACTCCAGAAGCCTGCCTTGTTGAGCCAGATACGCCAGCCTGCTGCAACCCAGACCCAGGGTCTGGTCCATGCCCTCAAAACTGCAGATTTAACTGAAAACCACACAGCACCCAGACACCCAATGGGATCCAAACCCCCAATAAATCCATTTTACGCTGTATAAAGCTTATACAGGGTAAACTCATAAAGTATCCGTCCTCTATAACACTGATAGAGAGACATGCCCAGCTGTTTGCTCCCCCAGGGATTAATAACTTACTCTGGGTTCATTAATAAACAAAAGTGATTTTATTAAATACAAAAAGTAGGATTTAAGTGGTTTCAAGTAATAACAGACAGAACAAAGTCAGTCACCAAACAAAATAAAACAAAACACGCAAGTCTAAACCTAATACATTAAGAAACTGATTACAGGTAACATCTCACCATCAAAGATGATCCAATAAGCTTCTTTCACAGACTAGACTCCTTCCTAGTCTGGGCCCATCCTTGCCCTGGTATAGGTCTTGTTAGTTCCCGCTCAGTTGGTAACTAGGGGTTTTCTTACGACTGGCAGCCTTATTTGTTCTCTTCCACCCCCTTTTATAGCTTTGGCGCAAGGTGGGAATCTTATGTCTCTCTGGGTCCCCACCCCTCCTACATGGAAAAGCACCAGGTTTAAGATGGATTCCACCATTCTTGGCAGCTTTTGGGAGGACAGAACCATCCTAGCCTGGGCTGCACCGTGTGTAGCCTTGGCTGCCATGGGGCTGGGCTTCGGCCCCTCTGCAGCCAGCGGCTTTGCCCTGTCCCCCCATTGCCCCTGACCCCCTGTGGCCCTACCCCCATCTCCCCTGCAGCTGGCGGCTTTGCCCCCCACCCCACGGGATCCCACATGGGGTCGGGTCAGTGGTTCATGATCTCTCTCTTTCCCCCTCGGTCCCGTCATGCAGCCCCAGCAGCTGTGACCCGGCCAGGTACGTGCCCCCCTGCCCGGCATCAGGCTCTGGGGGGTGGGGCTGGGGGCTCTGTTGCCTGTCCTGGCTCACAGGGTAGCGCATGGCCCGGGCCGAGTGCCCCTGGGCTGGCACTGCCCGATGCCCTGCAAGCCGCCGCCAGAGACATGAGCTTGGCCAGGCATGAGGGGCTGGGGCATGTGGGTAGTGGGGGGCCCAGGGTCATGCCCAGTTCTGGGGGTTGGGGGGCTCCTAGGAGGGTGAGGACCCCAGCAGGTGGGGCCTGACCCCCCCAGCACAGTGGGCTTCTGGCCAGGGCATGGGGCTGGGGGTCCCTGGGGGTCTGAGGGATCCCTGTACCAAGCGTGGTGGGGGGGAGTCTTGGGTCAATTGTCTGGGCTGTGGCGTGGGGGGGATTCCCGGGGGGACCCATGCTGACTGCTCTGTTCTGCCCCCAGGCCCACGCTACCACCAGACACCGACGTGCCACCCCCCCTGCCCCCCAAGGTGAGTGCCCACTGGGCGGCGCTGAGGGGGGAGGCTGCGTAGCATATGCCAGGGCTGAAGCAATGGGAAGCTTGTCAGGTCCCCCCGTCTGACCCACCCCCCAGCCAGCCCGGTGCTCCCCCATGTCAGATCCTTGGGCCCAGCCAGCCCGTAGCCCTCCCGTCTGACCCACCCCCCAGCCAGCCCGGTGCTCCCCCATGTCAGACCCTTGGGCCCAGCCAGCCCGTAGCCCTCCTGTCTGACCCACCCCCCAGCCAGCCCAGTGCTCCCCCATGTCAGACCCTTGGGCCCAGCCAGCCCGTAGCCCTCCCGTCTGACCCACCCCCCAGCCAGCCCGGTGCTCCCCCATGTCAGACCCTTGGGCCCAGCCAGCCCGTAGCCCTCCCATCTGACCCACCCCCCAGCCAGCCCATAACTTCTTTTATTACCTTGCTGGTTACTCGGAAATCCAAACAACACAGTTCCCTTGAAGCGATCCAGCCTTGGGCCTCCATCCAGGTACCCGTGCCAAATATGCTGCTTTCTAGGAAAATCTTATTTCGTTGTATAAAAGACCAGGTTCTGCCAATCCCAAGGGATCGGACACGTCACCTCCCAGGTTAATGAGTATTCCAGATCTTACCCAAATACACACGACAGCCGATTCTTATTAACTACACTAAATGTCATTAAGAAAACAGCAGAGAGAGAGAGAGAGAGAGTAGGGTTAAAAGATCACTGGACAGACAGACAGGAGTTCAATGCATTGAGGTGCAGAGATGGGGAGCTCTGTAGCCGCAGCGAGTTCTTTCCGAACGAGTTCATAGGTCACCGGCCAATGTCCAAATCTCATATTCAGGGCGTACCAGCATAACTGGGCCCTCAGTCTTGTGACTCAAACTTCCCCTGGAAAAGCCGAAGCAGGTGACAGAATCCGGACCCAAGGATCTCTTATACAATTTCATGTCCTTTGACAAGGTGGGGTTCCTCGGGAGCTAAGGGTAATCAGGATGGCTTTGGAGCAGGTTCATCGCTGTGGGTACTTAGCTGTAGAATTAACATAGGACCATTTGCTTGTTCCTCCCCCATTCCCAGCGCACTTCAAAGAGAGGTGAATACTGAGATCTCCTGGGGTTACAATTCATTTAAATGCTAGGATCTTCTTTCCACCGCTGAATGATCAGACTACAGCATAGACAGGGACTGTTGACTACGTTGTGGCCCCTACTCCTACATATGTAGCTACACAAAAACACAATCGTTACCTCCCCTCGTGTCTTTTGAGGGTTATTTATTTTGCAGGATGTTTAACCCTTTCTGGCCATGCGTCACACCCCCGCATCAGACCCACCTGTCCAGCCAGCCTGGTATCCCCGCCCCGGGGTCCCCCTAGACCCACAACCCCCCATTCTCCTGCTGTCTCCATCTGACCCCCCCCCACCCCCCGTCTTCAGCCCAAATTCCGGAGCCGGTCCGACGAGACGCCCGCTGAGGAGACGCGGCCCCAGCCTGGGGGACAACTCCTGCAGCGCCCCGGCACCCCGGCCTCCCTGGTGCGGTGCTCCAGTGGGCCCGTGGGGAGCTGGACCCCGCACCCCACCCAGCACGCTGACCCTCGCCGCTCCCACCTCTCGGCCAGCTCAGGTGAGTCGGGGTGGGGGGGGGCAGGATGAACAGGGCTTCTGCTTGGGGGCTACAGGCCTGGAGTGAGGGGTGATGGGGGGAGGGGGCCGTGGATGGGGAGTGAGGGGCATCAGCAGAACTGGGGGTCAGCAGGTCAGGAGTGAGGCATGTTGGCAGAGCTGGGGGGAGCCTAGGTCTGGGCTAGCAGGGGGCTGTGGGTTGGGAGGGCAATGGGGGGAGGGGACTGCAGATCAGCAGTGAGGGGCACTGGCAGGGCTGGGGGGCTGTAGGTTGCGAGTGAGGGGCAATGGGGGGAGGGGGCTGTGGCTTGGGAGTGAGGGGCGTTGGCAGAGCTGGGGGGCTGCAGGTCGGGAGTGAGGGGCTCCCAGGCCAGGGTGGAGGTCTGAGCCCCCCAGTGGGGTGCAGGAGTCACTGAGGCTGAATGCAGCCCTCATGGCACCTCTCCATGGGGCGGGTGTTTGGGGCTTGGGGAACCAGGCCAGAGCGACATAGCACCCTTTGATCCTCACCCCATCCCCAGATCCCACCCTGTGGCCTGGACCCCGAAAGCGAAGAGCCCCCCATCCTGCCACCCAAGACAGACAAGAAACGGAGACAGGTGAGACCTCCTCCCAGCACAGCCCTTGGCTATAGACAGTGCCTGGATGGGGGCCCGGCCCTGCTGCCCCATGGGCCGGGGGTGCCGAGGTAGGGGCCTGGTTCTGATGCCCAATGGGCCAGGGGTGCCCGGGTAGGGGACTAGCCCAGCTGCCCTGTGTCCGCATATTGGGCTCTCCATAGCCCCTGGCTCCCGCTTGGCTGCAGCGACCCGCCCCCCCCGAGTGAGAGGTGGCGGGGGGTCACTGGGGGGATCGTAGGGTGGAGGCCAGGGCCTGGAGCTGCTCAGCCCCCGTGGCTGCTTGTCCCCCCAGGATGGATCCCTCTTCAAGAAGGTCTTTAACGGCTGCCCCCTGCACATCACGGCCACGGCCACCTGGACGCACCCCAGCACCCAAGGTAGGGGGCATGGGTGGATGGGGGTGCTGGGGGGGCGGGCACTGGGGAGCAGGCGGGGGATGGGGGCGCTGTGGGGGGCAGGTGCTGGAGGGCAGGTGGGGGATGGGGGTGCCAAGGGGGGCCAGGCGCCGGGGGGAAGTGGGCGGATGGGGATGCCGGGGGGGGACACGGGCACTGGGGGGCAGGCAGAGGATGGGGTGCCAGGGGAGGGGCAGGCAGTGGGAGGGACAAAGGTGGGGGGTGGGCAGAGGATCAGGGTGCCCAAGGGGTGGTGGGCAGGGAATGGGGCTCCCAGGGTAGAGGGTGGGCAGGGTGCAGGAGGCCCCAAGGTAGGGGGAGAGCAGGGGGCCCCTCTGCCTGTATCCCTCCCCCCCCAGACTCCCGTGCCAGGACAGGCCTGGACTTGTGGGCGGACCACAGCGCCCTTCCCCCACCGAGGTCTGGGCAGTGCAAGGTTCAAATCTCCCCCTGCCCCCGTCCCCCGCTGCCCCAACCCCCTCCCCCTCCCTTCCAGACCCACATCTGATCCTGGGGGCTGAGGAGGGGATCTTCACCCTGAACCGGAGCGAGCCGGAGGCCACGCTGGAGCTGGTGAGAGCCCGGGGGGGGGACCCCACTCACCTGGGGAAGGGGTGGGTAGAGGGGGCAGTACATCCTAGGGGAGGGGAGGGGAGGAGAGGAGGGGCAGGGGGCTGTATGACCCATGGGGTGGGGAGGGGACAGTATGGCTCATGGGATGGGGAGGGGCAGGGGGCAGTGTGGCCCATGGGGTGAAGGGGGAGGGGCAGGGCAGCAGAGGGGGGCGCAGGGCAGGCCGGCACGGCCCGTATGGGGCAGGGGCAGGTGTAGGGTGGGGCGAGTGGGGAGGGGCAGAGCAGGGCGGCCCACGGGGCGCAGGGGGAGGGGGAGGGGCGGGGGCGCAGGGGGAGGGGCAGGGCGGCCCATGGGGCGCAGGGGGAGGGAGGGGCGGGGCAGCAGGGGGGCGCAGGGGGAGGGGCGGGCCGGCCCGTTTGGGGCAGGGCAGCGGGGGGGCGCAGGGGGAGGGGTGGCCCGGCCCATTTGGGGCAGGGCAGCAGAGGGAGGCGGAGGGGCAGGGGCAGGGGCAGGGGGGGAGGGCAGCGGGGGGGGCGGAGGGGGAGGGGCGGGGCAGCGGGGGGGCGCAGGGGGGGCGGCGGCCCGGCCCGGCCCGGCCCGGCCCGTGGGGGGCAGGGACTCGCTGGCGCCCCCTGGCGGACTGACCCGTCTCCCCTCTGGCAGCTCTACCACAGCCGCACCTCGTGGGTCTGCTCCATCGGCAACGTGCTCATGTCCCTCTCGGGTGAGCCGGGGGGGCCCGTCCGCGCTGCGCTGGGGCGGCTCTGACACGGCTGGGGGGGGGGGGGGGAGACGGCAAGAGAGGGGACCCGGGGCTGGACCAGCAGGGGGCTGCGGGTCGGGAGCGAGGGGCACCGGCACAGCTGGGGGGGGGGGCAGGGCTGCGGGTCGGGAGCGAGGGGCACCGGCAGCGCGGGGGGGGCTGCGGGTCGGGAGTGAGGGGCACCGGCAGAGCTGGGGGGCTGCGGGGCGGGAGCGAGGGGCACCGGCAGCGCGGGGGGTGGCAGGGGGCTGCGGGTCGGGAGCGAGGGGCACCGGCAGAGCTGGGGGGGGTCCCAGTCTCTCCCAGCGGGCTCGGCCCCAGCTGACCCCCCGCCCCCCGCAGGGAAGACCCCCCAGTTGTACTCCCACAGCCTGACCAGCCTGTATGAGCAGAGCAAGCGGGAGCAGCGCCCCGGCGTGCACATCGCCCCCCACCGGCTGCTGCCCAGGTACGGCAGCGCCCCCAGGGGGCAGGGCCGGGGGGGGGTGGAGAGCGGCTGGGCGGGACAATCAATCAATGAGGGCAAACCCCTGCCTGTCCCTGGGGGGCTGGGCTAGGATCCGGGGGGGGAGGGTTTTTTCGGGGCCCCGGGGGGGGGGGCTGTTCCCACATCCCTGCATGGCCAGCTCCCAGCCCCCGCCCCCTCCTGGAGCGGGCGAGTCCCCAGCCCTGGGCTGTGCCCATCGGCTGGTGACCCCAGGCCACCCCCCCAGCTGCTCCCCCCGCCCCAGGCCACCCCCCCAGCTGCTCCCCCCTCAGCCGGCTGCGCTCTGCTCCGCAGGAAAAACGCCATCTCCACGAAGATCGCCGACACCAAGGGCTGCCGGGCCTGCTGCGTGGGTGAGTAACACCCCCCCTGCCCCCCATGTGCCCCCCTGCACCCCCGGACACCCGCTCCCCTCAGCACAGGCCCCCCAGCCCCCTCTCCCCACCGCACGGGCTTCCCCGCCCCCCCCCGGGACCGCGCCCCCTGCTGAGCCTGCCCCCACCCCCCCTGACGCCGCCCCTGCTCCCCACAGCCCAGCATGCGCGGACCGGCTGCCACTACCTGTGTGGGGCGCTGGAGGCCAGCGTGGTCCTGCTCCAGTGGTATGAGCCTATGCAGAAGTTCATGCTGGTGAAGGTAGGGACCACGGTGGGGGGCTGGGGGTGGCGGGTAAGGGGAGGGGGTGGGGGTGGTGAGAGCTGGGGGTGGCGGGTAAGGGGGGGTGGGGGTGTATGAGGTGGGGTGAGGTGGGGGTGGCGGGTAAGGGGGGGTGGGGGTGGTGTGAGGTGGGGGGCTGGGGGTGGCGGGTAAGGGGAGGGAGTGGGGGTGTATGAGGTGGGGGCTGGGGGTGGCGGATAAGGGGAGGGAGTGGGGGTGTTTGAGGTGGGGGCTGGGGTGGCGGGTAAGGGGAGGGGGTGGGGGTGGTGTGAGGTGGGGGCTGGGGGTGGCGGGTAAGGGGAGGGGGTGGGGTGAGGTGGGGGGCTGCGGGTGGCGGATAAGGGGAGGGAGTGGGGGTGTACGAGGTGGGGGCTGGGGGTGGCGGGTAAGGGGGGTGGGGATGTGTGAGGTGGGGGGCTGGGCCGTGCCAGGAGCAGGAGGAACGGCCGGACCCGGCCCTGCCCCCTCTCACCCGCCCCCCCCCCCAGCACTTCGACTTCCCGCTGCCCACCCCCCTGCCCGTCTTCGAGATGCTGGTGGCGCCGGGCGACGAGTACCCGACGGTGTGCATCGGGGTGAGCCCGGGGCCCTCGCCCGCCCAGCCGGTCCACTTCCACACCATCAACCTCAACTCCCTCACCTCCTGGTTCACCCACACCGGCGCCGGTAAGGGGGCGCCACGGGGGCTGGGCTGCGTGGGGTGGGGGCTGTGTGTGGGGGCTGGTTGGGGGGGTCGGGGCTGTATGGGGTGGGGCTGTGTGCCAGCCAGGGGAGGGCTGGGCTGTGTGTGGGGGCTGGTTGGGGGGGCCGGGGCTGTGTGGCCGGGGCTGTCGGGTGGGGGCAAGGTTTGGGTGGGGTGGGGCTGTGTGCTTGTGTGTGGGGGGGCTGATTGGCGGGGCTGTCGGGTGGGGGCCTGTGTGGGGTGTCTGACTGGGGGGAGGCAGGGGCTGTGTGGGGTGGGGCTGTGTTGGGGGGGGCTATGTGCCAGACTGGGGGGGGCAGGGGCTGTGGGGGGGGGCTGCAGATGCCATGTGCCCGGTGTGGAGGAGACCGGGGGGGGGGGCTGGGGGTGTGACACGTGGCTGGGACATGGGGCGCCCCCCCCCGGCTCAGCCCGGCCCGGTCTCTCTGCAGACGTGTCCTGCCCCGGCCCGGTCCAGGTGAGCCAGGTGGACAGCGAGAGGGTGTTGGTGCTGCTGGACAGTAAGTGGGGGGGGTCCGGTGGGTGCCCTGGGGGGGGCGGGGGGAACGGAGAGCCGGGGGGGGGGAGGAGGCCGTGCACATGGGGGGCCGGGGGTCATTGGTCACGTATGGGGGGGCTGACGGGTCAGGCTTGGGGGGAGGGGCGCCGGCTCCAGGCTGTGACTGACCCCCCCCCGCTCTGCCCCCCACCCCCCAGGGAGCGTGAAGCTCGTCACCCTGCAGGGCACCCTGGTGCGGAAGCTGCCGGCCCCCGACATCACCTTCGACGTCGCCGTGGAGACCATAGGTGGGTGGGGGCAGGTGGGGGAGGGGCTGCTCCCCTTCTCCCCTCCCCCGGCGTACGCCCCCCACTTCCTGTTCCCGCCAGCCGGGCAGCGGCTTTCGGGGGGCTGTCAGGCGGTGCCGCCCCCCCCTCGTGGGCTGCGTCTCAGCGAGGGGGGGGCCGCCTATACCCAGCCCCACACCCCAGAGCTGGCTGCATCTCACCCGCGGCTCCCCGTACGCTGCCCTCTGGACGCTGCATTGGGGTGGGGGGGGCTCGGGCAGGCGGGTCCTGGGCACCGGGGGGGGGCACGTGGGCTGACCCGGCTCCCCTCTCCCGCAGCGCTGGGGCAGAACTGCATGCAGGCTTTCTGGCGCCACGGCGTCCAGGTGTGGGACTTCGCCTCAGCACAGGTATGGCGCTCTGCCCCCCCCATCGCCCCCTGCCCCCCCGAGCCCCTCCCCCAGACCTGACTGGCCCATGGACGCGGCTCCCCCCGCAACCCAGCCCCCCACTCCCTGCTGAGGCCTCCCCCCTGACCCAGGGAACAATCCTAGTGCCAGGCACTATTCACCACCCCCCCCGCAGTGGTGGGCCACCTGGCAGGGCCAGGGAGGTTGGGGGGTGGGGGGGATGATCCAGCTCCTGGGGCTGTGGGAGAAGGGGGGGGAGCGTTTGCGGGGGGGGGGTCATTGGGGCAGCCTCTCCCTGCAGTGCCCCCCCAATGCCCTACCCTCTCTTGTAGCTGATCAAGGAGCTGCGGGACCAACGCTGCATCTTCCGCCTGCTGGGCACCCACAGGTAGGGGTCAGCCCCCCAGCACCCACTGGTAGGGGTCAGGCCCTGCAGAACCCACAGCTAGGGGTCAGGCCCCCGGGCACCCACTGGTAGGGTCTCTCCCCTCCCCCCAGGCACCCACTGGTAGGGGTCAGCCCCCCAGCACCCACTGGTATGGGTCAGTCCCTGCAGAACCCACAGCTAGGGGTCAGGCCCCCAGGCACCCACTGGTAGGGTCTCTCCCCTCCCCCCAGGCACCCACAGGTAGGGGTCAGCCCCCCCCCGGGCACCCACTGGTAGGGGCTCTCTCCTCCCCCCAGGCACCCACAGGTAGGGGTCAGCCCCCCCCGAGCACCCACTGGTAGGGGCTCTCTCCTCCCCCCAGGCACTCACTGGTAGGGGTCAGCCCCCACAGAACCCACAGCTAGAGGTCAACTCCGCCTTCCCCCCTGGGCACCCACTGGTAGGGGTCAGTCCCCTGCCCCAGCACCCACAGCTAGGGGTCAACCCTCCCTCCCGCTGGGGCACCCACAGGTAGGGTCTCTCCCCTCCTTCCCCAGACACCCATAGGCCGGGGTCCCCCACCTAGCCAGGTTTTGGGGGGAACAAATCCAATGGCCACAACCCTCTGGGGCCCTGGCTCATGAGGACAGGGGGCTGTGGGGGTGTCAGGGGCTGTGAAGTGTCATCTGCTGCCTGACCCCCACTCTTCCCCCCCCAGCACGGTTGTCTTGGAAACACGCCCCATAGACGACACCCACAGCAACCTCTACATCCAGGAGTGACAGCCCCACCAGTGGGGGGGGGGGCGGACTCACCCCCCCAAGAAGCTGCTCTTCCCCAGAGAGTGTCCACCCCGGGGCCAAGGACCCGCCCAGCCACATGGGCCGCGACAGAGAATCAGCCTCCGGTGCCCCCACACTGCACAGACTGGGGGGGGGCTGAGCGGGCCCCAGGGGTGTCATTGTTTCACCCCCTTTTCCATACCGTGTCTGTAATTATTCTGCCTCAAAAAAGTAGGAAAATCACGACTTTGCTCTTTTCTGCCCCCCACCCCACGACTGGGGGGGTAGCCTACCACCCCCCTCCCCCCCGCAATGAAATCAGGGCCCCCTCAGTGCAGGAGACATGCCCAGCCTGGCCTGCCCCCGTGCACTGCCCCCCCCCGCTGGGTGGTCCCCAGTACTGCACCCCCCAGCCCTGGGCCGTACACCGCCCCCTCCCCCGCTGGGTGGTCCCCAGAACTGCAGCCCCCAGCCCTGGGCCGTACGCTGCCCACCCCACTGCTGGGTGGTCCCCAATACTGCACCCCCCAGCCCTGGGCCATACACCGCCCGCCCCCCACTCTTCTGCAGCGAATGCCCAGACCCCACCCTACCTGTGTCCCTGGGCTGCCTCACTCGGGGGGTGGACCCAGGTAAGGGACCAGGCAGGTGGGGTGGGGGTGGGGTTTGTAATATGACAGCAGAGCCAGAACCCAGGTGTCCGGGCTCCCATCCCCCTCCAGGGGGTCAACAACAGAACCCAGGCGTCCGGGCACCCATCCCGCTCCGGCGACAGAGCCCAGGCGGCCGGTGCCGCCCCCCGCGGCTGCAGGAAGGAGGAGGCTCAAGGCCGGTACAGCACGCGATCACCTCTCGTTTATTGATCAGGAAAGGGGGTCTGGGCACAGCGCTGCCCCCTGCAGGCCCTGGCCTGGCAGCCCCGCAGCATAAAGCCGCGTTTGGGGGTGCCCGGCAGGCTCTGTGCACAGCCCCCTCATGGGGCAACAGTGAGTCCCCCCCAGCACTGGGGGGGGGGGCAGCTATAAAAAGGCACTTGGGATCAGCTCCCGCCCAGGACCACCCACAAGCGGAGACCTGGGGGGGATCAAGCTGGGCCTGGGGGGGGGGTAGTGGCTTCCCAACCCCCACCTGGCCTCTGACCCACACTCTACCCCCCCCCCCCCCCCCGGGCCCAGCAGGTGGGTTTCAGTGTCTGGCCCTGCCGGGGGGAGATGCCAGCAGGAGGGGTCGCGGGGGGAGATTAGCAGCAGCAGTGCCCCCCAAGGACTGGCGCCCCCCCCAAGGGGGCACGGGATCTGTGCGGGGTGGGGGGGGTGTCCTGTCCGGTTCTAGCCCAGCTGGTCTTCGTATTGCTTGCGGAAGCAGTCGCCGGCGGGGAAGAAATCCCAGCAGCGCTCCTGGTACATCTTCCAGACGTAGGACTCCTGCCGGGGGCGGGGGGGGATCAGCACCCTCGGCCAGACCCCAATCCTTACCTGGGGCAGATGGCCCCTCTCAGAGCCTAGGGGTCAGACCCCTAGGATCCTCCAGCCCGTATCCCGCTCCCATGTGGGGCCGACCCCTGAGATTCTCCAGCCTGTATCCCCCTCCCGCTTAGGGCCGACCCATGGGATCCTCCAACCCGTATCCCTCTCCTCCTGTGGGGCCGACCCCTGAGATCCTCGAGCCTGTATACCCCTCCCCCTTAGGGCCGACCCATGGGATCCTCCAACCCGTATCCCTCTCCTCCTGTGGGGCCGACCCCTGAGATCCTCGAGCCTGTATACCCCTCCCCCTTAGGGCCGACCCATGGGATCCTCCAACCCGTATCCCCCTCCTGCTTGGGATCCTCCAGCCCATATCCCCCTCTCTTGTGGGTCCGACCCTGGGCCCAGTCCCACCCGCTGCCTGGTGGTGCTGGGGGGCTCACCTGGCCCGTGTGCTCCGTCTCGTCCTTGTTGATGAGGTACATCAGGAAGAACCTGGGGGAGTGAAGGGGGGGGGGGGGTCAGGATCCAGGGGCTCAGGACACAGACCCCACCCCCCATTTAACCCCATGAGCATCACACTCAGCAATGACTTGGGAGCTGCAGGGCCAGGAAGGGGTTAACATGCCCCAGTGGGGCTGGGGCAGGGGCAGGGCCCACCCCCCTGCATTCCCACGGAGATGGCCCTACCCCCACATTAGCCCCACCCCCTGTCACTCAGATGGACTTGACCCCACCCCCAGGTCCCCCGTCACTTGCATGCACTTGGCCCTGCCCTGGCTTCCCACGATCTTGGCCCCGCCCCTGGCTCCTCCCCTGCCCGTGGCCCCGCCCCTGGCTCCTCCCCTGCCCGTGGCCCCGCCCCCAGCTCACATGTAGTTGGCCAGGTTGTGCTCCTCCAGCGTGTGGCTCTCGAAGCCGTGGGGCGTCGTGTCGAAATAGTCGCTGCCGATGCCGCAGATGAAGCACTTGGTCTGCGGGGGGGCGGGGGGCGCAGGGATGAGAACCCAGGTGTCCTGGCTCCCCCGCCCCCCTCGGTGGGGTAGGGTGGGGATTGGCTGCCCAGCCCGGGGCCACCCTCCCGCTCCGCAGCACGGAGCCGGGTTCCCCCCCGCTCCAGGGCCCAGCGCCTGCCCCCCCAGACGTGGGGGTGGCCAGGAACCCGCCCGGCCCAGCGTGGGGGGCGGGGGGAGATAACAGGGGGGCTGGGGGCCTGCCTGGGGTGGAGGTGGGAGGAGTGTGTCACACCTGAGGGGGTCTGCCGGGGAGGGGGGGGGTCACTCACCTCCATGTCCTCCTTCACCTGCTCCTGCTGGTCGCGCAGCTCCCCGAAGGCGTCGATGATCAGGCCTGGGCAGAGAGAGGGGGGGCGAGGAGCCCCCCCAAGTCACCCAGGGACCAGCCTACCCAACCCTACCCTCCTCTCCCACACAAGAGCGGGGCCTGGCCCCCCACCTCAGCACCCACAGCTGACAGAATGCCCCGTCCTGTTCACCCCCCATGCCAGCACCCTGCCCCTGCTCACCCCCCAGCCCAGTGCACCCGCCCCTGCTCACCCCCCATGCAGCCCCAAGCCCAGCGCCCCCCTGCTCACTCCCCAGCCCAGCACCCCTGCCCTGCTGACCCCCCAGCACCGGGCCCCCTCCCGCTCACCCCCAAGCAGCCCCCAGCCCAGCGCCCCCTCCCCGCTCACCCTGGATGATGGCCAGCAGGATGACGATGACGAAGAAGAAGAAGGTGATGTCGAACACCACGCGGTAAAGCTCGTACTCGTCGCCGGCCGGGTCCTCGATCTCGTCCCCGATGCCCCCGCCCGCCCGCACCCCCACGTACATGTGGAACAGGTAGCACTGGGGGGGGAGACACGGGGGGGGGTGAGGGGTGCCTGACCAATCAGAGACAGGGGGGACCCAGACGCCACCCCTGGAGCCATCAGAGAACCCCCCCCCACACACACACACATTGGGCCCTTGTGCCCCGGGCCCCCTCCACAGCCGCTGGTGGGACAAGGCCCCCCCTCCCCCCCCCGGGGCAACCCCCCCGGGCAACCCCCCGCTCACCGTCATCATGTCGTCACATTTCATGTCCGGCTCGTCCTCGTCCTCACTTTTGTTGTAGAACTTGCGGAAGAAGTTAAAGGCCACCACGGTGTAGAGGTAGACGACCACGGCCAGCAGCCCCACCGTCATCGCCAGCTGGGGGGCACGGGGGGGGGGCTGGTACTGCCGCCAGAGAGCACCTGGCCTGCCCCCTCCGCCCCCCCCCACTCCCACCGTCATCGCCAGCTGGGGGCGGCACCAAAGCTCCCCCCCACCCCTCCAGCGCAGCCTCCGCCCTGCTCCCCACCGTGACCCCCCCAGCCCCCCACCGTCATCGCCAGCTGCGGGGGCACGGGGGGGGGGCTGGTACTGCCGCTAGAGAGCACCTGGCCTGCCCCCTCCGCCCCCCCCACTCCCACCGTCATCGCCAGCTGGGGGCGGGCACAGACAGCTGTCCCCACCAGCGGAGAGCATCCCTGTCTGCGCAGACCCCCCCCCCGCTGCCCCCCGGCTGCCCCCGGCCCACCTGCTTGCCGTTGTGGGTGACAGAGGAGAGGATGGTGCGCAGCGTCTTGACGCCCATGGCGATGTCCAGCAGGTGGGCGGCGAAGAAGAAGTTATTGTAGTGACCCAGGAGGGACATGACCATGTACCAGACCAGGTAGAGGAAGGACTGCGGGACAGGGGACAGGGGCTGGGACGGGGGCACCTCCACGGCGGGGAGCGGGGGGGGGGACTCCGGGTCTCCCCCCAGCTCCCCAAGATCAGGGCAGGGAGTCCCCCTCCCCCAGGGGCAGGGACAGGCCACGGCATGAGGAAAGACCCAGCCCTTCCGTCAGCACCGCTGTGCCCCTCACCCGGGCATCTGGTCTGGTCCCACCCCCCCGCCCCCGCATCTGCAGCCTCCCTCAATGACACCCCGCCCCACCGCCGATCTGAGGCAGCTGGGGGGGGGACGGGCCTCGATACAAGCCCCCCTGCCGCAGCCCGAATGCAGGACAGGCACACTCTGCCCCCCGGCTCCCGCCCATCCCTTGCCCCCCCGCCCCATGACCCCCCTTCGCTGGGCCCCACGACTCCCCCCCCAGGCCCCACACACACACCCCGGTCCCTATGACTATCCCCCTCAGGTCCCATGACTCCCCTCCCCCCATGGGCCCCACGACTCTCCCCCCGGGCCCTGCACTCACGTTGTCGGTGAAGATGACGCCGAACTTCCAGAGCTGGTACTTGATGTCGATGGACGTGATCCTGAGGGAGTGGCAGGGTGAGCCAGGCCACCCTCCCCGCCACCCGGTTCCCCCCTCCGAGCCTCTCACCCCCCGGATGTCCCCCAAACCTCAAGCCCCGAGACTCCCACCCCCTGGATTCTGCCCCCTGAGCCTCCTGCTCCCCGGATCCCTCCCGAGCCCCCTGCCCCTGCCCCCTCCGAGTGTCCACCCCCCCCACATCTCTCCACCATTCCCTGAGCCTCCTGCCCCACCCCCAGGCCTCACGATCCCCTTCGCCCCCTGAGTCTCCCGCCCCCCCAGTCCCCTCGATCCCCCCCCACTGCCCCCTGAGCCTCCCGCCCCATAGGCCCCCCAGTCCCTCCCACCCGAGCCTCCTGCCCCCCCAGCCCCCTCACCACGTCAGCAGGGACTTGTCGGGCTGGGGTTTCCTCTCGCTCTGGGCGCTGATCTCCAGGCTGGCCAGGTCCATGCCCAGCAGCTCCGCGATCCGCTCCCGCCCATAGATG